GCCGAGCATGCCTGGCACATGATTTATTGCTACCAAAGCAAGCTTTTCCAGCAGTAAATCCTGCAGCAATGAGCTTGCTAGTGTCCAAGGCCAAACTGTAAAGTTTTCCAAGTCTACCTCTGCATAAACAACACATTGCAAAGGGCTAATTTAAAACCCAGAGTGGTAGATGTTCCACAAGGCCAGGAAGAAAAGAGAGGTAGAGTTGGAGCACAGCTGATTTCACAGGCATAGGAACCAGGAAGTCTGGGCTGTATTTACCCAGCTGGAAACATGCTTCACATTTATTTATTCCCCCGTTTTGCCTCAGGTGCATACTCTTCCATTAGGGCTAAATAGCCGGAAAAGGCCAAATACATCTGAGGTCACTTTTGGCTAATTAACATGGCAACAAGTGCTGATTAATTAGCTTGGGCCTGAAATTAGCTGAGATAATTTTTGCAACGGCATAGGCCATGGATTTATGAGAGCTTCTTCTCCAAGAGAAACAATATTCTGAAAACATTGTTTGTATAGAAAGCTTCATTCACCCTGTAAATTACTACCTGGATTTCTCGGAATTTCAGGAGTAGCCATTTAATTTCATTTAAATGCATGTTTGTATTTCCTTTACCTGATGGAAAAACTTACTTACCTCACAAGGCATCCAATGACAATCAGGTGTTATCATGAATCCCTCTGCTTGATGCAAAGCTGTATGTTAAAGCAAGCTAGAAAACCATTGGGAACCAAGGTCCAGATTCTCAGATCTGCTAAACACCACATCAGGCAAAAGGTGTTGAGGCACCAAAGAAAATCCTGACGTCCTCTAGTCATCAACATGCTTAATCACACGGACTTGCCAACTTTAACAACATAGTAAAGTACCAGTTTTGACGATGATTTGCTGCCCTGCTAATGTGGGCTGTGGTGTACCTGACTTCTGGATCCCCAACAGTGCAGGCTGCTGGACCTCAAGGAGTAATGGGGAAATGCCCATTTTGGTTGTCCAGATGGTAAAGAGCTGCTTCTGCTCATCTCCTCCCAGGGCAGAGCCTGGGGCATCTCGCTAGCAGATTGCCTTAGGGGAAAGGCCCACCAGCATGTCTGCATCGAGTATTCCCTTTCCAAGAGATTTATTTTGTGTTTGGCTTTCATTGTCCATCTGACTGCAACCGCTTTTGAAATATTAGCTTGCAAATGGAAGCAGTCTCCTGTGTCCCACTCTCAGAGAGATCAGCTCTGCTGCCACTGCTGTCGCAGCTGGTTGAGAAACAACATTTCCTTTTTGTGGGACCTATTTAGCATTAACTTTGCTTCCAGTCCAAATCAGGCTAAATCCAGAATTGTTCACATTTCCCAGGAGCTGCAGGCTCTCCACAGAGATGCACAAGGCAGAAAATGTCTGCTAATAAAAGACCAATTCACTGAGCAGCTAGGAAAGGCTGTTAGCTCCCCAGCACTGAAGGGACCCATAACAGTTCCTCCTCGGGATAACAGAGCTACCAGAGAGGAAAAGATCATTCAGACCTTAATTCGACTTAAACTCCTCAAACTGCCTCAAACTTGAGAAGTTTTGGAGGAGTTATTTAGGCTGGGTAACTTAGCAGGTCATTTTGCTCCTTGGTATTTCACTGCAGCCCTCCTTGTGCCCGAGGAAAACAGGGAACACCTCTCACCATAATGTATATCTGAATGAATTAAACCTTGATGATGATTATAAATAACCCATCCTGTGCACTCTTTTCTTTATTCAGCTTTTCCCTTTTGCCCTTTCAATAGGATTTTATTATTATTATTATTATTTTTGATGATCAGATTTTAACAAGCGTTGTCCAGAGGGACTCCATAAAAGTTCTGATGCACGTTTTTGCCACTAAAGCCTCTTCAGTTGCAGGTCTTTCCCCACCTCCCCTTTTGCTTTCACTCCAAACTGAGAGGAGCTGGCAGGGCAGGATGTTGCCCAGAACCAAGAAGCATTAGAACCAGTCTAGCAGGAGGCTCCTCTTCCCTGATTGGACTCTTCTTAAATTAAAATTTATGTGGATTTGCGGGGCCCTCATTAAGTGAGTCACACCATTAGCACAAGGTGTGTGTTGCAAAGGGTCTGTTTATCCCAGTGCTGATGGAAGCCAGAATCCTGCAGCCTGCATGCAGAAGTGATCTTACAGCAGATAATGCTGTTGCAGGTGGAAACCTCAGAGAAGGCTCTGCAGCCCAAACTACTTTTGATTTTTTTTCTTTTTTTTTTCTTTCCAAAGACTAAATCACTATGATGACAGATTGCTTTGTTCCATTTAATTTCATTTCTGGAGGTTGACTGCAAATTTCTCCATGTGTGGTCATTAGTGTTCCCACCAGGGCAGCCTGCACAGGTGAACAACTAGTCCATGCCCTCCAGACAAGTTATAGCTGAATGCACTATCCTGCCTTACTGCTCAGATTCTTTCTGCACCATTGCCTTCTGCTGCTCCATAGCTGCCACATGCCCTGCCCCAAAAGTGTGTAACGCAGATCATACAATCATAGAATGGATTGGGTTGGAAGGGACTCGAGGATCATCAAGTTCCAACCACCCTGCTGCAGACAGGGCTGCCAGCCTCCTCATTTAATACCAGCCAAGGCTGCCCAGGGCCCCATCCAACCTGGCCTTGAACACCTCCAGGGACGGACAGGGCATCCACAGCCTCTCTGGGCAGCTGTTCCAGCACCTCACCAATCTCTTGGTAAAGAACTTCCACCTGATATCCAACCTAAATCTTCCTTCCTTCAACTTAAAACCATTTTCTCTTGTCCTGCCATTATCTACCCTTGTAAAGAGTTCACTCAGACTCAGAGATTCTCAGAGCTAAGAGCGCTGTGCTCAGTATTTTGCTGTGAGCTAATTCAGACCAGAGTCTTCTGTTGGATTTCCCTTGCCACATGCTTGTTCCAAAATCCAGATTAAGCTTTGCAGCTCTGTGACCCCCTAGCTACTTCAGAGCATCTTGTCCCATGATTTTCCTTCCAGCCGATCTTGACAAGTTTTCTTTGCTGAAATACCTTAAATACCTTTCCCTTTTTGTATGATTTCACTCTCTGGGCTTCTATTACATGTAGCCACAACTAAATCCTTCCCAAGTTCCATCAGCCATTTTACTTCTGCTCAGTGACCCATCAAGCCTGAGCTGGCCTGTTTCTCTGCCCATCACTTCTCACTAGATGCATCAGTATGTGGTCCAAGCATTCTGTAGCTCCTAATGCATTTTCTTCTCAATTACATACTTGAGTGAGACCTTGAACTCACCGTTCCTCTGCCCACTGATCCTACTGAATGCCAAGATGCTCTGAAAAAATACTATCCTTAAAGAACTCTTTGAATTATTGGAATCAAACCAGGCCTGTGCTGCTCAGCAGAGGCTAATCCTATCATTTGGTCATTTCAGTTCCCTCAGCCGTTTGTGAAAAGACATCCCTGGAGAGCAATTCACCCCAAGTGTTTTAAGTCTGAATGGATTGGAAAATGCTTGTTTTTTTCCAGCTTCTGCTATTTTCAGACTCGAAAATTCAGTGTAGCCTTCAAACACTGACACCTCTATTTTATACGTTCATGTACAGCAAGAATTGCACTTCGCACGGCGATGTTAAAGCGAAAATACCTTGCTCACACGTCATTAAGACTAAACAAGGCAGTAGTGGTGAATTTAGGGTGATGGCACAGATCACAAACTCAGGTTTTGGAAAGAGACTGGAAAGCTGTACGGCATGGTAGGCCATTTGTTCCATGGTTATGCCACAGTACTTCGAAATAAAACCATCAGCATGTCTGCATTCACTGGCATTTGCATCAGGCCATGAGTACAGACTCTAAGCCCTCGCTGGCTCTTTAAACCCGAGATGCTGCTCGCTGCTCCAGGTCAGCATTTGTTGGAGGAAAACCCTCCAGCGTTCTCCGTGCTCCCCACCTTGCACATGAGACACAGCGGTAATAACCGACTGCTGCACGTTCTGCTCGGTTTGTGGTTAATACATGCTGCAACTGGGGAATTCAGCAGGCCTATAAATAACTGCATTTACACATACCTGAGCTCCCCGAGCACTGGACCACCTGCGAGGAAAGCAGAGCTGGAACCGAACACCGTCAGCCCCTCTGCTGTGAGCCGAGCAGAGTTGGATCTCCTTTTCCACCCCTCCAAAAAAGGGCTGTAGGTGGTTACAGCATCTTCTGTTTGGAAGTTGGAGGCTGTGGTTGCTCTTCTAGTTTGGAATCAGGAGAAAAAAAGGGTTGGAGGTGAGGCAGTGTGGCCTCCTGTTTGTGTGTTTTCTTCTCTGACCCTGTTTTGCAGGACTGATTGGAGCTGTGTACTGGGGCAGTGATGCCTTGGCTTGATCTGACAGAGGTGATGGGCCAGAATTCGGTATGAGACATCCACACACACACACAGCTTGAGCTCACCAGCTTCATCCTTGTAAGAAGCCAGTGAAGACACATGGACAAAAGGTTCAGATATTTCTCAAGAGGTCTCAGCGGTCGCTTTGGTAATGTTGTTTCATGGGAGTGAGTACATAATATTGCATACTACAGGTTTAAATCAGTCACAGCCCCTCTGCCTTCTCCATATGTAGAACGCATCAATAGCAGCTTTATGCAGGCAAGAACATAACCTGGGGACTCGAGCACCAACACGGTGTCAGGGGAAGTTGGTGCAAATTGCTCCATCGGCTGGACATTAAAGCAAAGAGTGATATCACTCTTAAAATAAGAAACCTAACGTAATGTGCTTTAATAGCTGAATAATTGCCGCGAGCAAAGAAGGAGGCTTTTGTGAAAGGAGATCACCAAAAGCCAGCAGTGAGTGCCCATGACATCACGGCCATGCACAAGAGAAACCTTATTCTCACAGCTCCGCAAAACGGCCTTGTCAAGCTGCCAGGCCCAGATAACTCGGTGGGAGACTTTAGAGAAGAGTTAATAAGATGATTGATTTACAGCTGGAAAAAATTAAAGAGTCTGAAAATTGACAGGCTGACACTGTTTGACAGATTCTCCGCCGACTCTTTGAAAGACGCTTCCATGGGTGTTCTGCAGCCGGGCTGGGAGCCTGCAGCACTGCACAGGTATTGCGGGGGGCTGGCTGTCAGCTCCCCTTCATGGCAAACAATTGTAGGGCTGTTATCAACCCGCTCGAGCTCCAGCAAAAATAGATTTGAAAAGTCTGCTCCTTCTTATGAGAAGAAAATGGGTTGAAAATGTTTTACCAGCTGTGGATCGGATCCAAAAGCTGTGTGAAACTTCTGCGTTTCTTATTGTGGGATTTGAGTGTGGTGTGTTTTCTTTACTTGTTAGGAAAAATTGTCAATTTTGTCTCAACCCTGTATATATTTTTACAGTGGTTTGTGAGCATGAGGGAAACCAAGGGTCTTTTCATGATTTTTGGAGCTGATCCACCTTATTTTTTTAAGAATTCACTTTGTGAAGTACCATTCACATTGAAACTCATGATTTACTGTTGAGAGAAAGGAAATGTCATGGGATTGATATTGCATTGTTTTGCAAAAAAAAAACCAACCAACCTATCCTCAGCATGAAATTTCTCAGTCTCAATGCAGGAGTCAGCTCCAGGAGCAGCTTGAGCCTTCAGCAAAAGGGAAATGCATTCATCAGAGCTAATTACTGAGAGACAACACACGTGCATTTTCAGTCTTCAACCACTTCTCAGAATTCTTAAGAACAGGGTTTTATTTTTAGCCTCGTTGCGTTTGATCCATCAGTTGTACAGCTATTAGGGAGCAAGTCTGGCTTTCATGGGCTTCCAAAAACATAAAACCCTTGCTTCAAAATGAAATTGATTCAGACTGCACATGAAAAAAAAAAAAAAGAAAAAAAAACTCCCAAAAATACAAGCAGGTTGAGAATAACGAAGTAAGATGTAACGAGCAGCAAGAAGAAGGATATGTCACTTCAGACGAAGAGGAAAGAAAGGGCAGGAAGGCCAAACACACACTTTGAGGTAACAAATACAATGACGTTATGTCCACAACTCAGCTGTTACTGAAGCCAGTTAGGAAAGTGAGTGCCTGAAAAGCAGTGACATAGTTGACAAACTTAAGGCTCTCTTGGAAAAATGAATGTAAACTCAACGTTAGGTTTCACATGAGATAAGTATCAAACTGTTTGGACTTTGGAGATAAATGGAGAGGACCAAGGTTAACCACTGAAGCTGGGAGGTTGGTTGGAAGCTTTCTGGTGTTGCAGTTTCTGACAGATTCTGGAGTCAGGTGAGTTTTACCAAGAACTTCTCCCCTAATTTAAGATGTATTTAAATCTTACCTTCATTAGATTAACTCATCAGTATATCAACAGTCTTCTGAGTTTTGGAGTCTAGTGGATTAGATCTACTTAAAAAGTGGTATATAGTGCTAAAGCCCTCCAAAACAACCCAACAACAACTCTACACCAAAAAATAAAAACAAAACCTTGATTTTACTTAAATGAATGCTGACATGTCATATTAATTTCATTTCCTCCTTTGGAATAAGAGCCAAGTGATACAAGTGATGGCTTTGGAGTAAGGAGGATTTTGACAGTGTTTGGATTGATGCTCCCATAATTCAGGACAGTGTTGTTTGGGGGAAATCACTGCTTGAAATGTGTCACTGGGATACACACTTTGTTGAAAGCACCTTATCAGAGCAAGACAATCTTAACAAACCAAGTACCTGATTAGTAATCCAGCAAGGCAACATTCAGTGAAAGCTGTAGGACGGTACATTTAAGAAGAATACTAATGCACAAATACCACATCAAGATTGATTGTGCAAAGAACAGTATGCAGAAAAGTGGATCACAAGCTAAACATGGATGAAGATGATGTCATTTCATGGTCAAATCTCATTTGGGGTGCATGGAAATAATTTCTTTGCTTTTTCAGTGTGTTTGAGAGCTTGTCTGAAACACCATCACCCCCTTTGAATGCAATATGGCGGAAAACAGCAGAAACAATTTTGAGCCAGGAGGTCTGCAGTGAGAGCAGTGTGGGGCCTGGAGAACAGGAGGTGATGCTGTGACAGCAGTATGGAAATAGTGCAGGAGCTGGTGTTTGTGCGCTGCGGGAGGCAAAACTTGGCAATCGCAGCCTGTGCTGCCAGGTGCTGCCAGCAGAAAGAGATGTGGCTCTGGTGTCTTCCCATGCACCAAAATCTGTAGGGAAAGGGCAATCCCACAGCCATCCTGACACATTTTCCCAAGAAAAAATATAGGGCTTATGATGCAGGTCCGTGTGAAACGTCACGGCACTGTTTCTGATTGCACAGCGTCCATATTCTTCATCCAAAACATTTTTAAGAGACCCATTTATTTTTGGCAATGGCATTTTTTGTTCTTACAGCATTGTTTCTTAGAAAGAACTGCCTAACCACAGTGAGACTGTCCTGTTCCTCGTGTTCTGCTTGCTGTGCAATGCTTCAGTTTTCAGGAGAGATGAGGTAAGATCACTGGTGTAGCAGGAAATCTGTCCCCTCAAATGCCAGACTTTCTTTTTTTTTTCAATTAAAAGCTCAGCTAAAGCTGAAGCTGCAGAAATCTGCAGCTCAAGGGTGGGAGGCATAAAGAGTTTATTGCTAAGAAGACCAAAACTGGGGGGATAAAATGTCTAGCTTCTGAAAAGTCCTTTCATAATGGCAGAGTTCTCTCTGACTGCAGATGACAGAATAAATTAAAAAATATTCCTGCCAGCTTTACAGAGACTGCAAGAAAATCTAAGGTTGCCTAATGGACTGGAATATAATCTCCGTGTTTTCAGTTTCCTCCATGTTACCCAAATCATTCATTAAAAGATAATGAGCCGAGCAGTTCAGTTTTCCCCTTTATAAACAGCCCTCTGTGGGGAGAAATTCAAAATAATAATTAAAAAAAAAAAAAAAAGAATATTGTGCAGTGAACATGCCTGCAGATAATAGGAATATCCTTCACTCCCCTCTCCTGGGGCTGTGGTTGCCATCCATCAGTCAGCTGCCATGCCAGGAGATGCTGTTAGGGACCAATGGAGGGCCCAGGCACAGGGTGATCCATCACAGCCCTGGTTCCCCTGGTTCACTCTTCTAGAAGATGGGTTCGTATGCATCAATGTAGAGACCTTCATTGATTAGGCAGGAAGACAAATGGGATAGCACTAATTATAGCAGTTCTTCAACTTTTTTTGACCCCTTCCCTGATGCCATCACCTCTTGGACATTCTGTGACAAGGAAAGGCAGCCAAGGAGCTGCAAGAGAGGATTTTATCTGAAAAAATGCATTTTCTCCATTTTTAAAAACTGGGTGGAGAACCCGGAACAGTTCAATCAGAAAAACATCCCTACACCTTTGCGTGCAAATGCAGATGCTTGGATTCACCCCAGCCACTGTCAGGCACTTCCAAGGGTGCCCAAGGCAATAGCCATGACCATTTGTTTCCTGTCTTCGTTGAGAACACATAAATGCCTTCAGCCTGTCCCCAATGAGGACTTGTAGATGCCACCAGCAGGTGATCCAGTGACTTCAGTGATGTCCTGCCCCATGCAAGAAGCAGATGTCCTGACTCGTGCCCTGATTTCTCCATCAGTAATCTGAGGCCCTTTGCATGTATTGTTGAAGAGGACTGGGCTTTCATAGGAGCTGGGATTTAAGAAGCAGCTTGTGCCATAAAAGTGTCACTAAAGATGAATCAACAACTGACAGTGCTAAGGAAAATCCCATCTCCCTTCCCTTCCCTTCCCTTCCCTTCCCTTCCCTTCCCGTCCCTTTGCCTTTTCCACTCTAGAAGCACACAGCAGTATCTAACAGCTTTCCATGCTGGAGTCTGGGAGATTTTCAGAACCATAAAATATTTATTCTCTTTTTTTTTTTTTTTTTCCCCCATTAGGTCTTAATTCTCAATATTTTATAAGAACTTAAATTATCCAGGAATGCTGAGCTTTCATTTTTTTTTTTGGGGGGGGGGGGGGGGGGGGGGGGGGAAGGGAATAAATAAGAATACAAAAAAGCA